TGTTCTCCTTGGAGATACATATGAAAGCAAAGTAGTCCACCTATTTCTGGCCATCAGTTACAGGACAGAATCAATTGGCTGGAGCCTTACAGAAAGTGGTGTTACCTAGACAACATGGTTTCTGCACTTGGAAGGTCTGTGCTTTGAAATAAATTGATTGTGGATTCTGCTTACACTTCACTAGTAGGTGTATTCTGAACTTTACTTGAGATAATGCATTTACAAAGCATATCACAGAGAGTGGCATGAAATAGGTTCTCCAAGCTTTTATCTTTACATTTCAGTGTCCCAAGAACTGGTCCTGTCGCTCTCCCAAGATCTGCCCATCATTTGGTTACTCAGACATTAGTACATAGTACATTTTCTTCTGTATATTGGATACATTTTTAAAGCATGTTTTGTCACATATGTCTAAAGGAGACTGCTTTTAGTACACTGAGAATAAAGCAATAGTCATAGTTTGCTTGACAACAGTCTTACCACAAAGTGAATACACCAGCTAGATTTTTTTTTTGATAGATTGTAACTTTAATCATGTGATTACCTTATTTGAGTCCCCTTCATAACATCCAAGTACCTGGCACACATTAGTCACCTGAATACTGGCTGAACAAATAGGTGCATGCCCAAGATTTTCAAGTCCTTCCACAGTTAGATTTTACCCATGTTTGCTTATCTCTTTTTAGTTATTTCTGTATATATTGAACATACATTTTTTGTATGACTTCCACATGTTAAATACCATGTCAGTTGCTAAATATTCAAGGATGAGAAAAGATCACACACCTCTTGGAAAGAAAGCCTTCATTTAAGCCATGTTCATTTGTTTTTCCATCCCCAAGGTTTTGTTAGTGCAGGCCTTGCCAGCCAGAAAGCCATCTCTCCCCTTTCATTCCATACACATTCCTTTTATCCCTCAGGATTCAGTCCAAATTGTACATTGTTCCCCATAAACACTTACTTAACCAGTCTCTGTAAAGTGATCTCTCCCTCATCCCTCTTCTGCCTCACTAAGACAGTTATTGTTAATTACATCATTCTTTGGCTAGGAATTGTGCACTGTAAGTTGTCTAGTGCAGTAATACTAAATGTTACGCTATGAGTATGTAATTTATTCTCTACTTATGTGGTATAATTGCTCGGAAGCCTGCCCCTTTGCAATGTACTCTATGCTTCTTCCTTCCTTCCATCAGGGTTAATATTGATACTTTTTCCTAGAGTGGCATCTTCTGAGTGATTGATAGGCAGCAGGAAATGTTCTTGTATATTACCGAGATGTATGTGGCATGCATAGTTGGCTAGATATTCAATAAATTTTCACCTATTATAAAAGTACAAGCTGATAATCATATTATATAAATAAATCTCTCTATTGCCAGTGATATAAAGGATAGTTTTGAGCATTCATGAAAACGTTATGGAATTCTGAAATGTAATTATTACTTCCTGAGAAAAAGAGGTTCATATTTCTATTCATTTTTCCCTATACTAATTCATTACTAACGCTGTCCCCATCTTTGTTTCCACCTTTATGCCACTGCTTAGAGTAGAGAATAATAAGTTCCTGGATCATTGTAAATTTCACAAATAGATTTCAGCAGGACTTGGTATTCAATAAAATATTAGCCATAAAGGGAATCCAACCTATTGTTTAACAATGAAAAATAAATACTGATGCCCTAGTTTATTCACATTCAAAATTCTTGCTCTGCCAACTATGCTGTAGCTTTGATGATTTCTTCAGTTCTAACACAGAAAAATGATTGATCTATGCAAGGGATATGGTCTGGTTTTAAGACTGGCATGTCTTAGACAAGAGAACTAATAGCACAACACACAAAAGCAATAGTAGTTTATGTGTTGCCTGGGATGTGTCAAGAACAGCTCTAAAATGCTTTAAGTACTAACTTTTTAAAACATTTGCACAGATCTATAAAGCAGATAACCTTATGGCTATCCATATTTTATTTCTCAAAAACTGTGGAATGGGGGAGGTAAAAAATGATGAACACAGTAATGATGGGGCTGTGTGTAGGGAAGGGGGAAAAGGGCCGAGGTAACACTTTCTTACACTAAATTTGGCTTCCAGCCATCTAGTATTCAAACTTTCCCAAGTTCTACATTAGCCTTCTTTCTTGGCTGAGGAAGAAATCCACCTAGGGTGGTACAGATGCAGCCAGATAACCCACTGCGACCCCTGACTTAACTCTGAAGACTCAGTCTATGAATAAACAAGTCACATCAGGTCTGTGAAGATAATCACTTGTTCCCAGCCCTCTTAGAAAATCAAAGGGTATCTGGAGGCCTCTGAGATCTGGCGTTCTTCACACCCTTAATGCGCAGGTACAATGTTTAAGTTGCTTGTGTGTGAAGGCTATCAGAATCAGTGACTGGCCTGGAAATGAACTTTGACAACATGCAGACTCCAGCTGCCCTGTTAGTTAGGGGATTTTCCACAGAACACACCACTTCAGTGGTTTTAGCAGCAGATGCTGCACATGCTCCAAACTGGAATGCTTCACATAACTGTGTGGCAGCCCAAGTTTCAAGGAACCAAACCCCCAAAGATTCCTAAGCCAGGATGAGTTCTAGCCTTCTCAAAAGTAGCACAGCTTCTATCCTCAAAGTTGTTCTGCTTCTGGTAAATGGTAAGACCCCTGGAGTTTGGTGTCAGAATCACCATCTCTTTGTGACGTACCTACGTAAGATTTTGCTGTGACTTAGGTCTTCTATGTGTCAATATAATACAACTCAATATCTGGTTCAAGATACAAATTTTAAATAAGCTGATACGTACTTGAATGCTTTGGATCCTGGAGATGAGCGTTTTAAGCTAAAACACTAACATCATGGTAACCAATAGACATACCCATTTTTCCTGGATAAATACAAATGCAAGTGCAATACTTGGTCACAGTTTTGAACATAGTGTGCAAAGAGAAAGTACCCAAGAATTTTGATAATTGTGCATGTATTAAGAGTTTGGTCTTTCTCAAGATTCCATACAGTAATGCAAACTACATTAAATGTGAGAAAACCTGGGCATTAGCTTTGGCTTTGTTTCTTATCAGTTTTCTGAACTTCAGTTCACTGAGTTTCAATTTTCTTATCTACATTACACAAACAGCAAATATTATTTTCCTTGTCAAACTCAAGGTTTATTATGAAATACATTAGAAATTAATATAGCTTACTTTTAACACTGTACATTTTAAGGGCAATGCTTTGAAATAAATGCTTCAAGTGTTTACCTTCTTTCATCTTCATTCCAACACAAATGAATTAACTAATGCATATCCATTTTAAAGATATGAAAACTGAGGTTCACAAAAGTTCAGCAAGTTTCCTAAATTCATAGACCTCACCATCATAGGAAGAAGTAAAGAATCAAACATTAACGAAAGTGCTTTTATAAGAGTGAAATTATCTATTTGAGAAGGTAAAGCATCTTTTTTCTTTCTCCTCATCCTGTCTTTCTTCTACTTTTCCTTTACTACCCCTTTAAATCTCTTTTCTCTTTGTGAATTTTGTAACGAGTTATCATATACTACTATAATTCATCATCATATACTTTAGTGGGTTAGGGTTTTTGATGAGAAGGTTAAAGATTGAGTATGACAATACACATTCTCTTGTTCATAGCCAGTATTGGATTGTCCTCAGCAATTCAGCATTGCTTGATAATTTAGGATATATGATGATTAAGTTGAGTACAGGAAATCTAGACATATGAGCATGATTTTTCTACCTTGGAATAAGACATGCACATAAATAAGTCTAATCTGAGGAAGAAGCAATTTCAGGGAATGAAAAAAATACCACGTGAGGAGAGCTCAGGAAACTAATTAAATCTGGGTGAGAGGATCATGGCCTCCTCGTGCATGTCCAGGAAAATGGGTGCTGTTCTTTTCCCCCTAAACTATGAGTATAACTGAGGCTGGAGTGTGAAATATCCAGGGGAGGGGACATGGGCTAAAGTGGTAGAACTTGGGAAGCTGCACTTGGGAAACAAGCCTTTCCCTCCTTAGGTCACACCTAAGAATTTAATTACTTCAAGGTTCATCAAGGCAAAAGCTATTTACTGTAGAAGTACACACGGAGATGACTAGAGCAGGGAAAGGGAGAGGAGGACAGGAGGGGGTGTCAGATCACATTTCAAAGATGCTGATTGCAAGTTTCCACCTGGTAACAGCCTAGGGGCCAGCGCCTAAAGATACAAGTCAAAACATAGACACTTAGCACAGAAAAAAACTAAAAGTACCCAGTGAGGGAGTTAGAAAAACTCAAAAATTCTTGCCAGTGGCTAAATAAATATCTTTCCTTGCATTTGCACTTTCTTTTTCCCACTTACTGAAATTTGGAGAGTCATAAAATCTATTCCTTTCTCACAGTTCTAGGTTATATAAGATTATAATCTGTGAGAAACCACAATTTTTCATATGTGTCCTAAATTGCTTTTACCAGCTTCTACTATTTATGTGTTTTATAACACACACACACACACACACACACACACACACACACACACAGCATCAACAACTGGTGACATGGGAGATTTTAAGCTCCAAGAAATGAAAATAACAAATAACATACTTTTCATATAAAACACTGGCTCCCTTCCAGGAAACTGGAGAAATGCATTCGAAATTCATAGAAAACTCCATCGCATAGTACTTGAACTTGGAAAAACATTTGGAGACAAGGAAGAATCTGCAAGAGGAGTTTCACATAAGGCTGCTTATTTACTTTTTGCAGAGCACATTTGAAACAACAAGGTTTAATTCATTCCACTTTGCAGACTTACACATCCCGAGAGAAGAACAGCGTCATTTCAGAAGTAGAATAAGTTTATCATAATAAAAGAGCGTGGTTAGAGGAATGGGGTTGGGGGAGGGGAAGCAACCTCGTTAAAATATTTCAGGGAAAGAATCAACAATAAAACAAATTTCCAGTCAAGTTGCTGCGCTAAACTACAAAAGCAGCGTAGAAACTTAAACAGATGCAAAAGGAATAAGACGAATGTGGAAGAAAAAAGGCCGATAAAGTTCCTGGCTGCAATACAAGAGACATATCATTACCATATGATCTAATGTGGGTGTCAGCCGGATTGTGTTCATTGAGAGAAACCTTATTTTTTAACTGTGCTATGGAGTAGAAGCAGGAGGCTTTCAACCTAGTGACAGTAACAGAGCAGAATCGACCCCCTCCTTTTTTCCACACCTGCAAACTCTCTTGCTTGGGCTGAATATTTAGAGTAATTACATCTCAGCTTTGAGGGCTCCTGTGGCAAATACCCGGATTAAAAGGTATGCTTTTCAATAATTGTCCTGAATTGTACTGCAGACTAATAAAACTGCGTTCAAGTGGAGAGCAAAAGGAAATACTTGGTGAGAAAAAGAAAAGGACAAAATCCTGCTAAACTTTTAATAATCTTTATGCAGCATTTTAGGCAAATGCTGCTTGAAAACAGAAGTAAAAGATTTGGTAAACTGAATACTTTGGCTTTTTCTCTTCTGTTCTTGCAAGATTCTTATTAAAAAGAAACCCTTGTAAACTGACACCATGGCTCTCTCTACTGATGCTTTTGTATTTGTACTAATGAAATGTTTAGCTCTTTATGAAGTGTTAACAGAAAAGTATTCTAAACTAATATACTCTTCATAGTTAGATTATATGTTTAAGAATTTATTTCCCTCCTGAATTCTTGTATACTTTATAAACTTTTAAACCTTCAAAGCAGTGAACTTTGGGGATCAGAAATAATGTATATTTCTATCACCCCAGCAGTGAAAAAGCATTAGCAGAGAGGTAAAAGTAAACTTTAAAAATATACATTAGATTAAGGATATAAGATATTTCAACAGTTGCATGATTGCTTGAATGTAAAGAAGTTTTCCTATCATTTTTTTGGTGAAATTTTGTTAGAAGAGATCTATAAATGTTATTATAAAATCATATTAAAATGAGATTGTGGGTTGACTTTTGTTCTACCTTTAAAAGAGGGTAGCCGGATGACGGCTGCCCAAGTGTGCTGCCCGAGAAGTAAATGCCTGTAGCTTTTGCTTCCTCTCACTTCTTTTACAAGGAAAAGCAGCCAAATGCTTTTCCTAGTAACCCTTTCTTACGGATAAATGCTGCTTTTATTATTTATATCATTATTGGAGTTTTGACTTCTCCTAATGCTGGAGAATCTTGATCTGACTGTGCATTTACAGTTTTACTTGTCTCTTGAGGGTTAAATTTAGCTTTGAAAGTCCTAGGGAAAGTATAAATGATCCTACACAACTGTTGATCCAAATGATATCGTTAAGTAAATGGGCAGAAACAATTTGGGGAGGGAGCTGGTGAATGTTGCTTTTGATAAAACACTGACAGAGCACAGCAGCCAGCATTCCTAGAATCTAACATTACATACATTTAGAGACTACTTAAAACAATTTTGATGAAGTACAAAAGGTGTATCACCACAGGGGCAGATGCCTTCTTTTGTAGGAGGAATTGTTGTTTGTTCTTTATCTCTTTTGTGATTTTCTAAGGAGGGAAGGAGTTGATTGAAGAAATCATAAACCACAGCAGCTCACTCGGATTGCTTTAAGATGCTGGGGTTCCAAGCAGCAGAACACTAATATATAAAAAGTGATTTTATGGGAGAATTTGCAGAAAAGACACTCTTCTTTAGGACCTTCAGAGTGGCAATGAATGCACATACAAACACACAGAGATACTAGCAAATGGAAGTAATATACAAACAAGTAATTAAAATTGCGAGCTGTCTAACTGAATTCAGCTGCTTTCGAAAACATTGTGCAGAGACATTCCCCGGTTTACCAAAGGTAAACAAGTGAAAATAACGATGCTGCTCCTCTGCACACATTCTGGTTTGGGTCGTTAGTGAAACACCCAAGGCATTTTCTACCCTGCAGAAAGAATCATAAAGCAGCATCTGCATTAACTTTGGTTGCTATTTACTAAATCTGTAATACCTTTGCTTCATTTCTCCTCTAAAACTGTGAGGCATTAACTGTGCAAGGCTCGCAAGCTTGTGGTAAACTGTAAACACTGCATTTTAATATGAAACAGATAGAAAACCCTCCTTCAGATCAGTGCAGGCGTATGCCCTGCCAAAGCAATAACCTTCTCTTATGGAAAATGTATGTATGCAGAAGGGCTGCTAGAGACAGCAGTACTGGACTGAGTGTAACCACATGAAGAAGAGTTTTTAGGGCTGTGCTTTAAATGCAGGGCTACTAGTCTTTATTCTGTGTACTGCTTAAAACGTACTTTGCTACCAAATATAAACTAAGAACAAAAGTGTAAATAATTGAAAACATTTGATTTTTCTTTAGTGGCAAACATTCTTAGGAGACACTCTTAGTTGATCCATGAAAGGATTTCTTTTCTGTTTTGCTCTTTTGGCTTTGCTCCTAGTTGATACGATGACCGAAAATAATTATTTAATTCTATTTATGAAGTGCAGCCTGAATACACGTTTTCATAATTGTTCAGTTCAATGTAGAGATGATGCAGTTGCTTGGGGAACATTGAAGAGACTCTCAGTGGGGTTTTAGGACATTTTTTCTCAAAAATGGACTTCCTGTTCTCTAGATATCAGCTACCATACTTTGCATCAGCCGACTTTATTATTCAGAGTTATTTAGTGCACATCAGTGAACAAGCACAGCATAGTGCTTGTTGAATGAAGACATTTCTCGAAATTGTACTTCTTTTTGGTGTATTTGTGTTTTACATATAATCCCTAGTAGTAAAGATGGTAACTTATACATTGTAAATATTAACTAGAATTTTCCATATGAATTTATTGACTCCCAGAGGATAACCAATTTTGGGATACTACCTAATAGAATTACTTTTAACTGTGAAATTTGCTCATAGCAAATTGAGATTTTCCATGTGACAACCTTCTTATAGTAGGAATTTAAAATCAAAATAGAAGATATATTATATTTAAAATAATGGAACTGATTGGCAGCTTGAAACATATGGACTAAGTCTCACTGTGAATAAGCTGTTGGTCAGCTGAGTAATTTGTGTGCAAAATATTGTGCAAGGCCTGGGTACAGAACAAGGACTAATAGGACACGCCCGCGGGAGTACATGGTCTACCGAGGGGGTCGGGGGACAGACCAAGCATGCAAAACAAATCACAAGACAATGCGATAAGTTCCTTAAAAGAGTTCAAAGCAACGTGCTTGGGAGCACAGAAGAGGAAGGAGGCAGCTTCCAGGCTGGATGAGTCAGGGAAGCAGACTCAAAATCTATTATCTCATTTGATCTTCCAGTTCTCTTTCAAGGTAGGAGATCTAAAAGGTTGAGTGGCTTTTAGTACCAGGGTTGAGGTGGGATCTGGGGGCAGATGAATCGTGGAGGGAAATGTGGCTAGAAATGTTAGTTGGCATCAAACTATGAGTGGCCTTCCACGTAGCATGGCGATTGAGGACATGATTGGTAAAGCCTGGGAAATCAGATAAATGTTTTCAATAGAAATTAACAGGATGAAATTTAACCTTCGAGAAGGTCACTCAGGCAGTGGAAGACGAGTTGCGAGACAGGAAGCCCTCGAGAGAGAACTGAGAAAGTTTTGTTGGCACATTCAGGGAATGATGGGAAGGCGTAGCCCAAGGAAAGGACTCCCGTGGAGAAGGGAGCTCTGCTTATAGAGATGCTTTTGAAGGAGGAATTGGAGATTGCGTGTGTAGATGGATCTTGGACTGCAGTAAGGCTTACATTGAATGTGCATAACAAAGTTCAAAATGATTTCTTGTCAAGGAAACAATGTGCATATAATGTGAATATAAATTACAGCAACTTCATTTAGACCCACCCAAATTCGAACAGATTTCAGTAATATTTAAATTTCTCTTCCTAAGTGAATAGCTGTCACCTCTCATTGTTCAGCTTCCTGCTTCATCGGAATGCATATTACTTTTCTACTTTGCTCTGTGCTTGCTTAGTAGGGGGTGAGATGTAAGAAATGACCGCGAGTGTAAGCATCACTATGCTTCCTGAGCTTTTCATTTGTTTCCCAGGTTCCCAGGTTGTGAAAATATATGAGCTAAATCATGAAGGTGACTTTCATCTTCCTCCTGCTTGCACAAGCTTCCTGGGCTGGACCATTTCAACAGAGAGGCTTGTTTGACTTTATGCTAGAAGACGAGGCCTCTGGGATTGGCCCGGAAGAGCGTGCTCCTCCTGAGTTTCCCGAGCTGCCCTCAGGCCCTGTGTGCCCCTTCCGCTGTCAGTGCCACCTTCGAGTCGTTCAGTGTTCTGATTTGGGTAAGTGGGGTGCAAGGCTCTGCTTGCCTGCCCGGGTTGTCTTATTCATCAGGCTGGCCTCTCTGACAGTTTAGTATTTCTCAGTTTTAATCTCTGCAAGTTCAGAGTCGAGGGACAGTGCCACCTAATGAGGAACAGAGGGAGCAGGAGGTAGAAAGAGAAGTTGCTGGTACTTCAGGACGTGTTTGTTTCTTTCCCTTTTAAAGTCAAGATGCCATCAGTTTACTGTCTTGGGTAAATCATTTTTTCAAAAATCTTTCTGAGCTTTGTGATGCTTCCTTTTGCAAACAAAACAAAGCAAAAGCCAACAAGAGCAACAACAACAGACAAAAAGAAAATTTCAATATCATGTGTTCTGTAATTCCAAAGTAATGATTTATTTTAATTGTAGGCTTTGTTTTCATGACATCTTAACTATTAAGAAAATCTAGACAACCTTTCTTCTCTTTACTCCAGATAAAAAAGTTTGAATATTACTGAATTATAAAGCATAAAGAGTTATCAGAAATAAGATAAAACTCTCTCTCTCTCTCTCTCTCTCTCTCTCTCTCTCACACACACACACACACACACACATGCAAAACAAAACTTATCTTTCTATTACCAAGATATACCCTCACTCTCTGCATACTTGTGTTATTATTACCTTTGACATTTTATAATAGTGCTGTTTATATTCTTTAAAAAGTTCCAAAGGAAATATTCATAACCAAAGTCTAATATAAATATTCCATATAATCTTGGATCATATATCTTTAGCCTAATACACTAAAGACAGTCTGATTTATCTTCTTTGAGAAAAAAATTTGGCCTGTAAATTCTGAGAGCAACATTCTTAAGAGATAAATCTCCAGAAGGGTTGCAGACCCAGTGGCTAGGCCAGAGGGCAATGAACTCAGTTTACAGGGCAGCTGATTCACATTCTTCCTTTCTTGGCATATTTTCTTGCTGAAAAAGAAAGACAGAGAGAGAGAGAGAGAGAAAGAGAGAGAGAGAGAGAGAGAGAGAGAGAGAGAGAGAGAGAGAGAGAGAGAATGCAAAGAAATCCTCATCTGATGATTCTATCTTGTATGTATGCTCCTGGAAGAAATTCCTTCATAAAGAAAATACTAAGGCATTTCCTTTAGAACTCTATTACCCAGGACGTCTTTGCTAACAATATTTTGTAGAAAACATTTGCAGCTAAATTTTCTAGTTGGAATAAACTGCAGAGAGGAAGTTAGACAAAGATAAAACATGCTTGATAGTAACAACTGAAAACAATTTCTTCAATGATGACATATGCTGCTTAGCCATTGAAAATCCTAAAAGAAAGGATATTAAGAACCTTTCAAAGACTGAAGAATAATTACACAGGATTCATTCATTCATTCATTCATTCATTCATTCATTCATTCACTCATTGATTTATTCCATAGACTGAGAGCCCAACACAGTACATTTCTGAACACTCGAAGGAAGAGAGTCAATAGATTGAAGAAAATCAATAGATTGCCTGCTCTTGTAAATTTCATACTCTACTGGTGGTAACTATTCCTTTTCTAATTGTATACTTGATATGGTAGGGATTGGACTGCTGTAAACTTCTCCTGAAACTTTTAGAAGTATCTAGAAAGTATGTGTATTGCTGACTTGGTCGATAAGATAATGTAGATAAAAAAAAATCTGAAGAGGCAGCACTTGATGGATAAACTATGAACATCTTTTTTGATGAGACCACAGTGCAATGGTCAACATCCCAAGAAACATGATACAAGTTAAATTTCACTTTACTCATGAGAACAGGGTTGAAAGGGTATGTCATTACTCTTAGTACATGTAATATCAAAAAAATGAAGGGGGCCAGCCAGATAGCTCAGTGAACTAAAGCACCTGCTTAGGCAGTTGCAGTGCCCAGGGTTCGACTTCCGGTATGCCATGCCAGCCCCGGGGTGGGCTGAGACCAAGACTGAGACTGGGCGTGGTGGCACGCCCCTTGGGAGGCTGAACACAGGAGGATCACTGTGAGTCCAAGCTGTGTAGTGAGACTATGTAGACTGTACTAAGAATATATTTTAAAAAATGAAAGGTTATTACTTTTGAGGAGGAATTTGTCACTTGGCAGATGTTTTATTTTACTGTGAATATAGTTTTACTTTGTTTCTATTACGAGTAGCTCATAAAGCTTGACTATGATGAAAACAATTGGCCAGTTTGCCGATTGTTTGTTGTGTAAAGTGCACTGGCCTATTGTTTAAAAGTAAACAGAAAACTGTGGTCACTGGACACACCAAGTTCACTGACCTGTGTATCTCATTGTTGTTGTTAAGCATTTATTTTGTTTATAGCTGCCAAAGTTAGTTTTTCTGTGTGATATTTTTTCCATGTGATCAAATATGTGTAATTTCTCTGTAGCACATAGATTTACTGACCACTGTGTGCTAAGGAAGAAGCTAAGGAAGTTTCTTGAGACCACATTTTACCATGATAAGTTCTAATAAGTAATGCTGACTCAAGCAAGGTGATTTGAGGAATTCAGACATGAATATTTAAATAGGCTACACAATTTTTAATGATATATTTTAAGGCAGAAAATCTATTCCTTAGAAAGATGAGAAATGCTTTTATCTTTAAAGAAACAAACTAGTTTTATTCACACTTATATCTAACTTTTGGTCACAATAAGATCATGGGCAGCTCTTCATTTTTTAAAATCAATTTTATTGAAGCATTTTTTTTTTTTTTTTTGCTCCAAATACATTCAGGGCAGGTTTGGCTGGCTTGAGTTGTAGGGATCAAACCACAGCAACCTGAGTCTGACTGCTTTGTTGAAGCAGCCACTTAAAGAACTGAGCTAAGGGGCAGGCCCCCTAAATTTATTTTATTGAGAAAGAAATAGCAATGAGACAGTTTCAAAACAGGTTAGTAGGACAGTTATAAAAATTAATACATTGCATATTGTTGTCTTCATCATAGTTATTCATAGTACAAGATGCAGACATGATAATCTTGTCTAAACACTATTAGTACAAATCTTTCTTCTCATTGAGCTAAGAGAAAGTAGATGTATATCTATCCTAACTAATTTGTATATACAGATATGCATATTTTTGAAACTAGCAGTTAATTGGTAGTATTCTCACCTTGACTAACTATATATGGTGATACCTGTGAAATCTAAGCAACTGCCCTGAAGATAGCAATGTGTAATACTCGGGTCATGCTTGGAATGCATGTCATTCTGGTATTCTGAATGCATACAGCTCTTTAAATGCTGGGTACCTTCACTTAAAGAACAGTGATTGTCAAGTTCAGGAAGCCCATTCCATGAGAAGGTCCCTGGCCCAGAAGTGCAATAGAGCTCTTAGTTATATAACAATTAAGTGGCACACAAGAGGAAAGAAAAGTAGAAGGAAAGCAGGGGGTAAGGGGTGAGCAATCTCATTGATAGTAAAACTAAGGTTGCTTATGTTGTGCTGCTTGGACACCCAGCTGAAACTGCTGCAATAAAGAAAAGTGCAATGCATTGTGGGATGCAAAATGTAATCACCCCAGAGAGAAGGTTAATATTGTAATGTTGTTTTAAAGATTATTCTTTGCAGAGAATTTGGTGTTTTGTCCTGCTGAGGATAGAACCAGGCAGGCCAACACTCAAATGCTAAGTTATGTCCTCTTGCCAGAGCTATTAGTGAGGAGGAAGGAGCCCAGATGTTAAAGAACAAAAATCCTTTGTCTTCTTGTAATCTAAACACTGTTTAATACAAGCAAACATCTACATTACAGTGTTTGTCTATTATACTTTCCAAGAAGAGGATTTCTGGTAAAGTTTCACATCAACACTTTAAACAGTTCTTTCAAAGCTAGGAAGCACATACTTTGAAATAGAAATTGTTTAATTATTTCATGGGAAACTTGAAGGTGGTCTGGAAGATACATTGGTTCATTTAATCGCTGGATAGAATTCATCAGCAAGTATTTTAATATACTTTTCTAGACCATGGGAAGCTATGGAAGTAAAATGAATTCCCCATGTAGTAGCCAAGTTGTTTTACAGAATTTGTTGCAATTTAGCTAATAATTTGAACCAGAACTTCCTGAGATCCATATCATCTCTTTTTTCTTTAACTATCCTATTCAGACATAAAATTATCTACTCTCTGTCTTTATGCTTATAAAACTAACAATAAAAGAACATAAATATGTGCAAATCCAGGCATCAGTATGTTACCTGAAAATAAGAAAACTGAAGAATAAAGAATAATTTATCTCTTTTAAGTTTGTTTTAACTGACTCATAAAAATATAAAAATTATATACTGGAGTGGTGGTGTACAGTTGTAATTTCAATTATTGGGAGGCAAAAGTAAGAAGATTGCCTTCAGCTTGAGGCCAACCTGGGATACATAGTGAGTTCAAGGCCAGCTTAAGCTACATAGGGAGAGTCTATCTCAAAAAGCAATAGTTGCCATAAACAATTACACGTATTAATGAGGTACCATGTGATGTTTCAAGGGAGTATAAGTTAAACACATCATTTCCTCAGATAGTCATTTGTTATGGTAAAAACAGCACTCAGAATCCTTTTTCTTAGGTTTTGGAAATGTTTAGTATGGAATTGTAACATATACTCACCTACTGTGTAATAACACTGCAGAACCTTAAGAAGTCCTATCTAACTATAATTTAGTGCTCATTGATCAACCTCTCCACCATTCCCTTCCCTTCATGTGGTACTTTTTGTTCTATGCATGGTTTATTTCACTCAACATAATGCTCTCCAGTTCCCACCATTTTCTTGCAAATGACAGAGAATCCCATTCTTTTTTATGGCTGCATAGTATTCCATTATGTTATATGGGTCAGTTTTCCTTTATACATGCATCAGCCATTGGACACTACAAGTGGGACTGAGTCACATGAAAAAAGTTCTGCCCAAGTGAGGAAAAAATAAAGTGAAGAGACAACCCATAGACTATGTGAACTTGCTCATGAACCACAAATCAGATAGGGATTGATATGCAA